GGGGGGGTGAGTTGTTTTGCTTCGTATTACGGGTTCCACCCTGTAACGGCGACCGAATCTGACACCCCCCGAGGGCCTGCACCCGAAAATGACACCCTACGCCTTAGGGGGAGCCCGGGGAGGGTGGGGGATGAGGCCGAGTATCATCCTGTGCAGGGTGGTGGAGCAGAGTCCATGGAGGAGCTCCATGCTCGGATGGATCGAGAGGAGGAGCAACGGCTGGAGCGGTTGCAGTCTTGCAGAGAGAGTTGGCGGGTAGAGATAAGTACATGGCGGACCAGCAGCGTGTTAGAGACTTGGAGACGGGTACTGCAGTCCATGATGTGGGTGGGGTAGAGCATAGCGTTCCTACAGTCCCGCACGCCGGTGTAGCCGACGCAGTGATACCCGACACCCCAGCGCCCGAGACGTTGCTCCAGGGAGATGTGGACTCCGGGTCTTACATAGGAGGAGAGTTAGGTGCGTCTGAGTATGGAGATCCGACCGTGTCCGACGTCATACTTGGATTGTGTGCGGCGGGCTCGTTGCAGCCAGGCGATCCAGCCACTCCAGAGGCAGTTCCTATGGACGGCGATTCAGGCGAGTTGGATGGAGGCCGCAGACCCGATGCGGAGGGCGATGATGGGGCGGGTGATGCCGACCGTCTTGCACCTGTGCACAGTACCGGTCGAGGTCGATCGTCACACGGGCCGATTGGGGGTGACGCATGTGGACTTGTACAGGGCGATGCACATGTGGACGACGCCGGAGGCAGTATGTCGTGGGTGTTGGTGTTGCGTCATCCTTCACCGGTGGCGCACGAGGATGCGTCACATCCTACGGAGGGTAGAGGTGGTGTTGATGAGGAGGGGGAGGGCGGTACTGCACATGACCGTCCTGACCCAGTGAGAGCAGATATGGAGGAGGGGCAGATTACACTGGGCCTACTTGACCTTAACGCGTTGCACCGTGCGGCAGTGGAGGATCCGATTATCACACGACCTGGAGGATCTGTCGGTGTCATAGTTCGCTCGCCCCCGCTGTACACACCTTTAAGCCCTTTGTATTCCGGCTCTCGTGCGAGCTTGGAGTGCGAGCAGCAACGTTCAGAGTCTATTAGAGCAGCGGCTTTGGGTGCACGCACGACTCGCATCCCCCCAGTTACACCTCCTCCACAGACTACGGTCCGCGGCAGTCCGACAACTGTCACGGGCAGAGAGAGAGAGAGAGGTCACATGTCGTCGTCGTCATCGCCTTGTCTAGACACGCAACAGTCGCTTCACCGTCCGTGGAGCACAGTGCGACGAGTTGATGACGGTGTGCGAGGTGATTTCGCGGCGAACCAGGCACGGTTGAGGGAGGAGCAGAGACCTGCACCGAGTTTGAGGACTGCTTATCACATTCTCGGCATGCCTAGATACGGCGCGCGCAGAAACTTACTTTTAGGTTCACGCATTGCCGCTCCTGCGTTGTATACTTCCGGAGAGGACGGTGTGTCGGTGCCTGGTGGAGAGCGATCTCACACCAGCATTAACGAGATAGAGTCTCGTATTGCTAGGGACGAGGCGCGATTGAGGGAGTTGCATGACACATTGGACAGGGAGCGCGCAAGGTTGGCGACGGCGCATGCCTCAGAGGCCGACACAGAGGAGGAACCCATCGAGGTTGTGAGGCACAGGGAAAGAGAGAGGGAGAGATTGGCCGAGGCAGGGACATGTACGATACCCTCGACACGGGGACGACGACGAGGAGGCAGGGGCGGGGGGCAGTAGACATGTCCTCCTGTCTATCTGGATGTTCCCCATGGTCCGGCTCGTTGTTCGCAGTCGTTTTGTTAGTTTATCATATGTACTTTAGTTTCACAGTTATTTATGTTGGTTTTTTTCGCCTTGCCAGGACTCGTATGTAGTCCAAGGCGTCAGACGGTTTGTGTGTAGCCTCAGGACTCGTATGTACTTTAGTTTCGCAGAGGTTCTTTGTGGTATGGTTTTTATGTCTTCGTTTTTGTGAGACATATGTATACTAGTGACAACTTTTTTTTTTTTTTTTTTTTTTTTTTAATGCGGATGACGTTTGTACATATGGGGAGTATGTAGTTTTCTGATGTGTGTGGATAGGAGTCATAGGACGAGCAGTCGTTCGACGATACATTTGTGTTTGCGGGGATTTGAGTGGTATATCGTATGTTGTATGACTCGTGCAGCAGTTGCATTGCTTTTTGTTGTCACATGATCGCAGATGTACATTATTGTTTCATACTTCCTATGGATTGTAAGTTTTGTTTGTATGTTTGGGAACGCGGTGTGTTATAGTGCATGCATGATCCCACAGTTCCATTGCACATGATGCAATGTTGTCAGTCCGCCCTCGAACACCGCTGCCAGCAAATCCTGGTCCAAGGCCCTTAAAGTCACTCGTGCGCAGCTCCCTCCGCAGACTGTTGCCTCGAGGTGCCGAGGTGGGTGTATGCTGGCTCGGCAAATGCTCCTCAGCTCTGATGTCGTCTAGGTGGTCCGACGCCTCGCGTCTACCACCTGAAGTCGATCCCGCCAGCGTCTGCTGCAGCCGCGCCGATCTCATGAGACCCTTGGCGGCAGGCGCGGGCCGCGCGGCTCCCTGCTGCGCCAACCGTGCGCTGCGAAGCAGTAACCCGTCGTCGTCGTCGTCGTCCACGCTGTCCAGCCCGATCACCTCCCTCTCTCTGCACCGGCCAAGGGGTGCGCCACTAGACCCGCCTAAAGCATCTCCACTACCGCCACGTCTGGCAACTCCGCTCGTGCTGCCTGAACCGTCTCGTTGTCCATGCTCCAACCTTATATCGGTGGCGGGGATGGGATCGCCGTCGCTCTCCCGAATGAATGTGCAGCTTGGCTGGAATCCATCGGCTCCTCCTCCGTATGTGTAGTATAGTCTCTCTGTACTCTTATCTACACTATGTGGCAAATCCTCTCCGCCCTCCGTGTCCGTCTGGTCCTCCGACGCCTGCACCGGCTCTGCTGGCGGTGGACGCACGTAGTCGTAAGGATGGAGTATCTCGGCTCTGGCACCGAAAACCTCAGCAACTCCCGCAGGGCGACGAGCACCCTCCTGCTGGAAGCGACGAACCTGTGTGTGTGAGAACATTCAATCAATCAATCAATCAATCAATCAATCAATCAATCAATCAATCAATCAATCACTCGAGGGGTTCAAGATCCTAGGATCTTGAACGTTTCAAGATCCTAGGATCTTGATTGGTTGGAATGATTGATTGATTGATTGAATGATTGATTGATTGATTGATTGATTGATTGATTGATTGATAGATTGATTGATTGATTGATTGTT